GGGGGTGGGTGGGAGATCAGGCGGGCACAAGTGCAGGAGGGTAGGAAGAGCAACGGGCGCTCGCGGCATGGCGGGCAGGCCCGGCATTGGGGGAGGCGCGAATGGGCAAGAGGGTAAGCAGGGGCCGAGCGAGGCGAGCGGAGGGGCGGGCTGGGCTGGTGAGCAGCGCACCCGCCGCCTTTGCCGCGTCATCCAGGTGCTTTTTTGTGACCCGGGAGGTCCAGCCGTCGCCCTCCTGGTGAATTAGGGCCGCCTTCGCCAGGGGGCCCTGTCCAGGGGTGGGTGGCGTTTTGCGGGGTTTTGCAGGGCGCGGCTCGATCAGGCAGGGGTGGCGTGTGCTGGAGGGACGGCCGACGCGACGGCGGGGAGAGCCAGAAGAGGGGTGGAGCGCAGACAGAGGGTGGCGTCAACCCACAAGCGCACCCCGGCCGCACAGAATGCCGATTGCCATGATCCTGCGGCCGCCGTCGCCGGAGCAGCGGGGTTCCTCGAACGGCAATGGAGCTCGAAAAGCGGGGGCAACGGCAACAAGAGCAAGGAAAGCATCAGGTAGGCCGGGCGTCTGGGGAGGCGGTGACCCTGGCTCTCACTATTACAGATCGCCACCCGGCGCCGATGCGCAGGTTGGATATCAGCGTCCTTACAACAAACTTGATCTCGACATCCCTTTAGAGTTTTTTTTGGGGGGGGGGATGTTGGTTGGTGGGACATCAACCCAGTATTGGGCAGGTGTGGGTGGGAAATGACCTGAGTCAAGACGAAGAGGCATGCGCAGGGTGAGAGGGGACTGTTCACTACGCGGGCAACAAGCGAACTGCTCATCTGAGAGGGTTGGATGCGGAAAGTTTGTCAACCAGACATTCCCTTCGTTCGGCCAGTAATGAGGAATGCTGTACTGATGCAGACGTGCGAGCCAAAGCCGCAACGGCCCCCAGCCAAACACCAGTGCCGCCACCTGCTGACAAAAGAATGCCTAAAATGGGCGAGCAGCCCCGGCCACCACGCACCTGCACGCCCGCAGCAGCTTGGCGACCGCCGCCTGACGCCGCCCTGCGCTGCCCTGGCCCCTGTCTGTTGCCATGCGGTGGAGGGCTGCAAAGACGCCGCGCAGCGTGAGCGGCGCATGGGCGCGCAGCGTGGCCTGGCTACGCTTCAGGGCCTGTGGTGGATGAAAGAAAGGGTCCCAATCATTGGAGTACAAGGAAAAGGTGGATGAGATGTGTTGCTTGATGAGATGGATGCACCAAGGAGTGTTGTCCTGTGCCCCGCGGGTGACAGCCGATGTCGTGGCGAGAGCTGGTTCACCAGCGACAGTCAACGGCGCCACCGTCACAGCTTACAGGGACCCAAGCTGCCTTGCGGCGCCATAGGGACGTCCCTGCCCTCATCACAAACAAGACAGCGGCTTCCGCGGCCAATCCAGGCGCCAGGCAAATTGAAGATGCAAACCCCATCAGGCAGCAACCCGGCAATCAAGCAGCCGCCCACCCACCAGCGCCACGTCCCCGAGATCCCCGTGCTGCCCGTACAGCTTCCTCATGGCGGTTCGTTTCGCGCCGGTGACGTCACCCAGCGCTGCGGACACCGTCGCACCGCCGACGCTCAGATCTAAGCCTGCGTGATCTGGGGCGATCTTGCCTGGAAAAGGCATTTGTCGCAGGAGTCCCGCCCAAGCAAGGAGGGTGGGTGAGGAAGAGGAGGGCGAGCGGTTGAGTCAAGACGCTGGCCGCGGAATATATTGGGGTGTTGGAATGGGGCGCGCGCGGAGGGCCGCCGGACGAGGTGCGGGCCCGCAGGTCAGGCAGCGATCGCGGTGACGTCATGGTGACCTCACCGCAGGTCAGGAACGCGGCGGCCTGGAGGTCGTCAGGCGCCAGCGCCAAGATGGTGCGGAAGACTGCGGGTTCGGGGGCGTGGCGAACGGCAGTTGGTCGTCAGCTGGCTCGCGGCAAAGGCTTGAAGTGAGCAGGTGGGTGGGTTCAGAAGCACAGGTTGTTAACGGAGCGTATCAAACGCTGATCAAGGATTGCAAGGAAGCCAGCTGCGAGGGATGGGTGTCGGCCAGGCGCGGCGTCAAGGCGCAACGGCCGCTACCTCGCCCTCGGGCGCCTGCTCGCCCCAAACGCACGGCCGTCCTCTCAACCCCCACTCCCCCGCGCGCGCGTGGGCGCGCACAATTTGTGAAGGCCGTGTCGATCTGGAGCCGGGAGCGCGTCCCATCCACCGCCGCGAACGCCAGCGCCAGCGCCAGGTATGGCGCCGCCCCGCCCTCTCCCGCCGCATCCGCCGCCGCCTCGGCCGCAGGGCCTGCACCCCCCGCTGCAGGCCGCCGAAGCCCCGCACCGCCCGCGCCGGCCCCGCCACTGGCGCTAGAGGCAGCGCAGGCCGGCGCAGGGGCTGGCGCCCACCAGCAGTGTTTTCGGGGGTCGAAGCGGCGGATGTCCATCAGAGGAGCATCCCGCTGGTCTTGGTTGATGGGGATCTTGGCATCCAGGCCGCTTTTTGGATCAGCAGCCCCCGCCCCTCCGGCTGCCAGTGGTGCCGCAGCGGGGTCGTTTGCGGCCGCCGCGTCCGCAGCCGCGCCGGCACGCGGCGCGGCGGCCGCCCAAGGGGCCGGCAGCTGCTGCTGCTGCCCGGCTTTGCGGCGCTTTGTGGCGGGCAGCGCGTTGCCCTGCGCCCCTTCACGTGCCTCGGCGCCGCAACTCCCGCCTGCTTGAACGAACGCACTCGCCTCCGCCTCCTCCTGCTGCTGCTGCTGCTGCTGCGCCTGTGGGGGCGGCAGGGCCGGCTCTTCGTCTGCTGCTGTACCGCTGCCTCTTTGCCGCTCCTCCTGCCGCTTTTTCTGCTGCGCAAACAGCTCGTGCAAGATCAGGCGCTTCCTCACTGGCTGCCGCCCCGCCTCCTCCTGCTGCAGCTCCTCCTCCTGTTGCTGCGCCTCCTGCTGCTGCTCCTTCTGCTGTTGCTCGTCCTCCTGCTGCTGCTCCTGTTGGTGCTCCGGCTGCTGCTCCTGCTGCTTTCCTTGCTGCTGGTCTTGCTGCCGCACTGCCTGCACCTCCTCCGCAACCACACGGTCGCTGTCATGACCATCCTTGTCGCGGGCGTCACCCAGTGTGAGCTTTACAATGCAGGACCCCTCCTTCAACAGCTGTCTCCGCGCCGGCGGGGCCGCCGCTTGCACCCCCTGCTGTTTGCTGCCCTGGAGTTGACTCCGTTGCAGCTGCTGCTGCTGCTGCTGCCGCTGCTGCGTCTGCTGCTGCTGCTGCTGCTGCTGCTGCTGCCGAGAAGCAACGCCACACCCTGACGGCAATGCTCCCGAGGCGGCAGGCCCGCCCGGCGAGCTGCCTGGCGCTGCCTTGGAGAAAAATGAGGCTATGCTGCGCTGCTTAAAGCCAGGCGCCGCCTGCGCCGCGCCTTTGCCTTTGCCGCCCGTCAACTTGCCGCCGCCCCCGCCGCCGAAACCGCCGCTGCCGCTGCTTTTGGCACTGCTTGGGCTCTTGGCTGCCCCTGCGCCACCAGCGCCACGCGCACGCTTGGCGCCAGAGCCGCCCCCGCCGGCGGCCCCTGCGCCCGGCGGCCGCTTGGCGCCAGAAAGCCTTGGTGCCGCCGCCGAGCCCGCGGCCGCCGGCCGCTGCCGCGCTGCCTGCTGCCGCGCCGTCGCCAGTGCCGCCTCCAGCCGCGGCCCTGCAGCTGCTTTCCCTTTAAACTCGCAAACCGCACCACCCCCGTCGGCGCCCGCACCACCGCCGCCGCCGTGCTGCTGCTGCTGCTGCTGCTGCTGCTGCTGCTGCTGCTGCTGCTGCAGCTGCTGCGCCTCGAAGAAGCTCGCGACCGCCAGCTCAGCGCTGCCGCCGGCCGCGTCCAGCAGGCGCGCCGCCTCGTACAGCGACAGCCCGGACTCGCCGCCACCGAGCACTGACCACACCTCTTCGACCGCGGCTGCGGCGGCTGCGTCGTGGGCGGTGCACGCGCCTGTCGCGGCCAAGGATGGGCCTGCGGCGGCCTCGGAGGGGCTAATGCTTTGGGGGGCGGCGGCGCCCTCAGCTGGGAGCTTTCGCTGCCCTTCCTGGTGCTTACCCTTGTCCTCCTCCTGCTCCTCCTCCACCTCCTCCTCCTCCTCCTCCTCCTCCACCTCCTGCTGCTGCCGCTGCTCGTGCTGCTGCTGCTGCTGCTGCTGCTGCTCCTGCTCCTGCTGCTGCTCCTGCTGCTGGTGCTCCTGCTGCTCCTCCTGCAGTACACCAAACAGGGGGTCTTGCTCGACGCTGCCCAGACAATCAGCGCCTGCGCCTGCGCCTGCCTCTGCGCCTGCGCCACCACCCGCCCCCGCCGCCGCACCATCCGCAGCGCCCCCCTTGCCGGCGCCGCCGGCGCCGCCGGCTGCCGTCTGCGCGCCGCCCGCCGCGCCGCCGCTGGCGCCGCGCGTCAGCATGCCGCTTAGAAACGCGGCCTTGCGGGCGTTGCCGTCAATCAGTCCCCTGAAGTGCTTGAGGACCGCCACTCGCGCGCGCTCCGCCTCCGCCGTCGCGCCGTTGGTCGCGCTCGCGGCGCCGGCGCCGGGGCCGACGGTCGGTATGATGTCCCGGGGGCGCAGCCATTTGACGAAGCGACGCAGCTCCTGAGGGCAGCGGGGGAAGCAGTGTTGACACAGGTGGGGAGTAGTGTAGAGCGAGACATGATTCGTGGGCCAAAAAGTGGTGCACAATCTGCGCAACCTCGGATGCAATCAGACAGGGGGCCCTTGTATGCACTCAGCGGACAATCGCCGCACAGTTGGTCCAATTATGCGCGCGTTGCAATGTGCTGTGCCCGCATCCACGGGCGGCCGAGCCTAGGCGCCTCGGCCAGCATGCTATCGTGCAGCGGAAAGCGCGCAAAAAACAGGATGCCGCACCTCAAAGCTTGAGTGCTCGCTGCCGGGCAAGGCGGCGGTGGGGGAGGCGGAGAGTCAGGACAGGCAAGAACGCACGATTTGCAGGAGCAGCGGCCGTCCCCGCCCATGTCACGACAGACAGCCCCTCCTTGGTGCCAGGCGTCGATTGCCAGGCGTCGCTTAAGGGTCGTCACCTTCAACCCCAAACCCTCAGCCTTTGCCGAATCGCTCTGTGCAGTGCCCCCAATCTCAATTAGACCCTGGTTGCTGCCGTTCCCAGGTCTCAGCCCAAAAGCTGACTCAGGAGGCTGCCTGCCCGGGAAGCTTTTGCACCCATAATGTTCCAGACGGACAGACTTTGGCCCTGAGAAGATTCCGCAAAAGGAACTTCCCAACCTGGAAGCTTCCCACTGCTTGGGCAGCCCACCTGTAGGGGACGAGCACCACGCTGCAGGGGCCCTTGGTGCGCACAGGGAATGGTGCCTTCTTCATCTCATACAGCCAGCCAGTCGGGACAAAGCCCACCACCTTGATGGAGCACAGGGGAAGGCAGGCGAGCAGGGCGGGGCCGGCGGGTGGTCATCACGTTTTCGCTTGATGCCGCAGGCGAGTGACCCTCTCCTTGCTCTTGTGACGCTTGGCTGTAATCGGCACCCGCATGGGTTCCCTGCAAGGGGCTTGCAGCGAACACCACGGTGCCAACATGTAAGGGGCAGGCAAGCAGACGACCCATGTGGTGCCAAACACACCCAAGCGCCAGCCAGCGCTTTGCCGTGCGAGGCGGGGAAAGGCGGACCGCGGCCACAAAGGGCGGCTAGCCCATCCTGCACATGCGAGTCGCACCTCCTCTGCGCCCGCCCTGGCCCGCGCCGCCTCCATGCTGACAAAGTTGGGGCGGAAGAAGGGCCAGGTCTCCCCCAGCATACCTGGGTGCAGCATATATGGATAAAGATCGGGCGTCGCAAGGGCGGGGCGCCCGATGGGCGACTGATTGGGCAAGGCTGAGCGCTGCAGGTGCACCTTCACTTGCGACGGAAGAGTGACGGCCCATGAGGCCTCAGGGACACGCAACGTGGCCTTTTGGCGCACCAGCAACCATACCCCACCCCCTGCCCATCCCAGGTCTCCCTCTCCCCAAGCAGACTGAGCCGCCGCCGCCCACCCCAGTCAACGACGCAGATTGGGGTCTCGTTTGGGTCCGTCGTGAAGTGGCGCGCCAGCAACTCTTCGGCTTCCCGCTGCCCCGGGGCCAACCCCTCAGCCCCGTAATCGTCGCCCGAACAGCCCCCCTCCTCCGCCACGGCAGCCGCGGGCGTGCGCGCGGCGAAGCGCCGCGTGCGCGCATCGCGCAGGCAGAGCGCGAGAGTGTCCCACTTGCGCTCGCTGACGCATATTTTGAGGCGCGTCCGTGCAGCCGCTTCAAGCAGGATGCGCTCCTTGCCGATGACGTAGGTGCTTATAAGGTAGATCCGGCGAAACGGAGGCCGTAGGCGCTGCTCCTGCTGCTGCTGCTGTTGCAGCTGCTGCTGATGCTGTTGCAGCTGCTGCTCTTGCTGCTGCTGCTCTTGCTCTTGCTGCTGCTGCTCTTGCTGCTGATGGTCTGAATGCTGCTGCTCTGACTGCTCTTGCTGCTGCAGCTGCTGCCGCAGATGCTGCTGCTGCTCTTCCTCGTGCTGCTGCTGCTCGTCCTGCTCTTGCGGCTGCTGCTCTTGCCGCTGCTGCTCTTGCGGCTGCTGCTCTTGCTGCTGCTGCTGCTCTTGCTGCTGCTGCTGCTGCTGCTGCTGCTGCTGCTGCTCTTGCTGCCGCGCCTCATCCTCGCCAACCATGCGCTCCAGCTCAGACCCAACGTGGCCTATAGCCTCCGCCTGGAGCATGAACGTGTGCGTCGGTTTCTGCGCGCGTGCATGGGTGTGCGCGTGAGCACGCGTGCGCGTGTGCGTGTGTGTGTGTGTGTGTGTGTGTGTG